GTGTAGCCTGAGCAGAGAAGTCCGAGGGGATATGAGAGCCACCTTGTGATGACAGTGAGGTGGGCGGGGGGCTCTGGGTGGTGAACAGTAGTAGCCCAACACAAACTGGATGACAACAGTGAGCTGCAATGCTTGGACTCGCTCTCAGGCCAAAGGCAGGGCTGGAATATTCCTCATCGATGGTCCTGGCCCACAGCCTGGAGAAGCAGGGTCAGGATTGGAAGCTCAGTCCATGCTGGGCTAGCCAATGAGGTGCTCTGGCTGCTCTGACCTCTGAGCCACCCTTGGTCAGGCAGCCGGAACGCCCTGGAAGATGCTGGAATGCATGGCTAGAGATTACCCTTCCCTGAGACCTTTGCTGGGGCTGATGTACCATGTGGCCTGGGCAGCAGGCAGAGACTTCTATAAGCACAGTTGTGCCTGGATATTTACTGGATACTTTGGCACTGTACTAATGTTTTACCTACACTGCCTCCTTTTATCTCTACAACAATCCTAGGTCCTGTCCTGAGTGTTCCCTTTGCCTCTCAGACCTACTGTCCACCCTGCTCTGTGCCCTGAGAGGCTGACTGCCTCAACAGGCTCCCTTGCCTTCTGGCTTCTGGGTGGGTTGGCTCAGTGGGAGGCACTGGTAGGTGAGCAGGAGATGCGAGAGTAAAGCTGGAGTATTTATTTGGTCAGTGTGCATCCTGCAGCTCCTGTGTGGCAAGTCTGTCCGTTGCTACTGTGGCACTAGCCCCAGGATATGGCAGTTACCCTCTGTGGGTTTCCTTACTCATGCCCATACCTCTTAAAACAATCCCTCCAGGAAACTCCTCAGTTACTCCGTTTGAATGCGCCATCTGTTTCCCACCAGGATCCTCATTGCTACCAGGATTCCCATTGTATTGGTGACAAGACTGAGGTTCTGTAAGCTTGCCAAGGTGCAGCATGGTGAAGCTGTGATCATGAAATGGTTAAGCTATGACTCAGACCTGGGGGGTGGGTGCCAGCCCAACCCTGGGCCCTTTAAGCTTGGATGGCGTATGCACATCCACCCCACTAATGGCCATACTTGAGAGCAAAGGTGAACTACAACCTGTTCTGTCCACACAATGACCCAACCTCTCCCTGCCTACATTGGCTCTTGGCTCACTGTCTCCTGGACTTCTGGCTCCTGGCCTTGGCTTGATTGTCACTAAATATTCCTCTAGGTCAGTATAGCCTTTGCACCCCTTTTGCTTCCCATTCTGGTCGGGCTTGGATGTTGGTGTCCCCCAAATTTCAGGTCATTATAATGCTGGGAGTGGGGCTGTGAGCCACCCAGGGGGAGTGGTTAGTTCAGATGACTATGTTCCTGTCTCCCTCAGGCTCTGAGCCCTTTGGGTTCAGCTCCTACTCCTTGTGCAGCCCCAGCCAGCATCCTGCCAGGAGCCCGGTGTGAAAAAGTGCTTAGGGAAAATGGAAGGAGCTGAAGAACGCTGGGGTGACGCTGGTACTACATGCCGTTAGAGACAGCTGGCCTGTTGGGAGCATATATAAGGAGTGACAGTGTGACTAACAGGGACTTTGTGTACACAGGGTGGGGATGCGGTTGTGGACGGCTGGGATTTGTTTACTAAGGCGAAGGGAGTGCGGTTTGTCCACAAGGAGAGGATAGTGGTTGTGTGCTTAGGGCTGGGTCTCCCTGTAAACAGCTAGGAGCGCTGTTGTAGCGGCAGCCCAGCGCCCTCTTGTGACCACATCTACAATCACATGTGTATCAGGTTCCATCCCTGCTCCTACCTGTCAACCCCAGATCCAGCTTAACCAGCTCCAGCCTACGCCACAGCCCCCACCCTAGCTTCACCCCATCCACGGAGCTCTGTCCCCTAATGAGGGCTACCTTTACTGGCCTCAGGGTCTTGTGGGTGGGAGTTAGGAAAACAAAGAACAGAGTCAACCTGTACAAAACACAGCCTTTATTGATTTCAAAGAAACGGCCTTGGGGATGCGCTTCTCAGGGCATCCACCCTGACTCGTACAGAGCAGGGTCTGAAAGGCTGGCACCAGCCTCTCCAGAACATTTGCGGGGAGGAAGATGAAAGCCAAGGTTCCTGAGGCTGAGAGAGTGGAGTCTGGGAGAGGGGGACTTCCCCTGAAAGCAGTGGTGACTCATAGGATCCCCGGGCGTCCCAAGGAGGGATTGGTGTCACCAGAGCCTCCTCGTCCTCTTCTTTTTAAGCTCACTCTCAGGCCTCCAGACCTCCCACTGCTGGGACAATCTTTCCTGTCCACTGCAGAATTCTGGGTGCTTCTCTCCAGGGAAGGAAGTCTTTTTGGTCTGGTGCATCCAACCCAGGACAAGCATCTTTCTTGTTGTGGCCTCCAGGCCCCTGCACCTGCTGTTCTCTCTGCTTGGAAGCACTTCTCACCTCTCTTAAACATTACTTCTTCAGGGAAGCCTCACCCGATCACCCCCTCCTGGGTTACGTAGAAGCCTTGCTATGAGTGCCCTAAGAGTCCTCCTGCACTCAGTAGTTAATTTGTTGTTTCAATGTCTGTCTCCCTTGAGGGCTGGCCCTGGGCCTGTGGTATATATACGCAGGCATTCAGCACAGTGCCCAGTGCTCACAAAGTATCTGACAATAATGAAAATAAATAGAGTAGTGAATTCAAAGGGCACCCAGCACCCGTAGGACCCCTCCACCGGCGCAAGACCGCCCCACCTGCCCCCAATGGCAGCCCGGATATCGCTCCCCATTGCATGGTCAGATGGGGGTCTGGATGGGTGCTGAAGCATGCAGCTTGTCACCGCTTGAGTCAGGGCCCAGATCCCCAGCCTCCACTAACTTGTGGTGGCAGCGGCATGTGGAGGCTCGACTGGCGGAGGACCTGCGCTTGCTGCCGCCTGGGGGCCTGTTCTTGCGCATGTTTTTTAGGACCCTGTGGAAGATGAGGTAGCAGATCTCGCTGATGGTGAGCACGATGCAGAAGGCGGAGGCGCCCACCATGAAGTAGGTGAAGACCTTCTTCTCGGTGGGCCGGGCAATGTAGCAGTCTACTGTATTGGGGCAGGGCGCCACGTTGGCGCACTGCACCAGGCGTGGCATGTAGAAGCCATTCCAGAGAGTATGCAGCACGTAGAGGAAGAGGAATTCGATGACGAGCTTGAAGATGAGGCTGAGCAGGTACGTCCACCAGAGGCCGCCGTGCTTCTTGCCTGCGTTGTCGTACAGCTTAGTGCACTGGTCACCGTGCTTCTGGCGGTGCCTGCGCTCCCGCTCCTCCCGGTAGGCCACGTGGAGGATAACCAGCAGCGAGGGGCACGTGACGAAGATGAGCTGCAGGGCCCAGAGGCGGATGTTGGAAATGGGGAAAAAGTTGTCATAGCAGACGTTGGTGCAGCCCGGCTGCTTGGTGTTGCAGTCGAAGTCCTTCTGCTCGTCCCCCCACACTCGCTCTGCGGCCACCACGTACACCAGCACGCGGAAGACGAACACCACCGACAGCCAGATGCGGCCGAACGCCGTGGAGTACTTGTTCACACCACTCAGTAGGGCCTGGAGCGTCTTCCAGTCCATGGTGCCTGGTAGGGACGCCGGGGGCCGTACACACCTGACCGAATAATAGGAAAAAAAAGCATACGTTAATGAACAGGTGACATTTATTGAGCATTTAATATGTACCAGGTGCTGTTCTGAGCTCTTTAATGTGGACCGGCTTGTTTGATCATTGCAAAGACCCCATGAGATCAGGACTATGCTTTCTAAGTTACAGATAGGAAACAGGCGGAGAGGTTAAGTAACCTGCCCAAAGTCACCGAGTTAATACACCAGAAGAAAGGCACTGTGAATTTGCTGATGATAACAATGAGCAGTTATTATTTGCTATGAGCCGGGCAAGGAGCTAAACACTTTATGTGTAGGATTTCATTTAGTCCTTATAATGACCCCATGAGGTAGACACTATGATGCTCCTCATTTACAGATGAAGATAAGGGTTGCAAAGCACTTAGTACATAGTAAGTGCTCAATAAATGTTGGCCACTTGTGAAATCTAGAGAGGTCAAGTCACTCATTTAAAACTAGAGTTGGATTCAAGACTGGGCCATGGATGCCAGGGCTGTGCTGCCCATGACTTCCTCTCCCCTTCTCTGCTGGATGCCTGCCCCAGATCGGGTTCTTGCAACTTACCTCCTTGATGCCTCACTACCATCCTGTGAAGTTGGGGTTGAATCCTATTCTACAGAGAGGAAACTGAGCCTCAGAGAGGGGGAAATAACCTCCCCAAGGTCTCACAGCCAGTAGGCGGTGAAGTTGGTAGACCGATACATGTGTGTGGCGGTGGGTAATGGTCTGGCTTTGGAGGATACCAGATCCAGAGAATATCTAGATAGAACTCCCTGCTCCCTGTGTTAGGGCTTGGGGGGAGCCCCAGCCACCTCAGCCATGCTGGGTGCCAGGGCTTTGTGGTGGGGAGACGTGTATTGTTCAGGTATCCAGATCACACATCTTCCTTCCAGTCCCGGAGTGACTCAGAGGGTGTGGACGGGTAGTTCTGCCTGAATACACCTAGTGTCTGCATGCTACCCTGGGTGGAACAGCCTGTGCCTCTCCAGGTGAGTGTGTGGGCCTGTGCGCACATGTGAGTGCTGCTGAAGCTAGGTTTGTGGCTCTGAGCATGCACGATGCCTGTCAGTCCACCCCCTGAATGACCACATCTCACCCCTCCGCTGCCACCGCCCTGGTCCAAGCCACCATCAACTCTTGCTGGTATTATTGCCACAGCCTCCCCACTGGCCTTTCAGTGTCTGCCCCTGCATCCCTAGAGCCCATTAAATTGGATCACTTCACTCCCTTGTTTACTCTCTATTAGCTTCTCATTACACTTAGAATTAACACCCAGATTCTACATTCTCACCCTGCATCTCTCGGCTCTGACCACTCTGGGGACCTAGGGGGCTTTGTCATTTTCCCTGCTGCCTAGAATGCTCTTCCTCCAAGAACCTTGCATGGCTGGATTCTTCTCATCACTGAGGCCTCTGCTCAAACATCTCTTTAGAGGTCTGCCCCCCCCACTGCCCCCACGCAGATAAGACTGAATCTGAGAGCCCCTTCCCTCCCAGTCATTCTGCTCCTGTCCCTTTTATTTTCTTTATAACATTTAATCGCCATTTGAAATTAAAGTATTTATTTATTTATTTTTTGTTCTTATTCATTGTCTATCTCCCTACTAGGATGTCAACTCTGTCTTGCTTACTGCTTTAAATTAGTGCCTAGTGCTTGGCACATGGTAGGTACTCAATATATGTTGAATCAACAAACAAATGAATGCTGAGTTCTCAGAGAGGCAGCTTGGAGGGAGGGGCTGGGAGGTGTGGGCAGGAGCCCTAAGGGCAGTCTGGACAAGGGAGGAGGCACAGTTCCTTCTCAGCATCTCAGCCCTCCTGATGCCTCTTCTCTGGGAATGTCAGACATGATGGGGTATCTGGGGAAGACCCCATCCTGGGCAAACTCCTCTTCTTCCTTTCTCTGCTCCTTCTAAGACCTGGGCTTTGGGGAGGAGCAGTGGAACGTGCATTGAGTGTGGAGTCACATCTAGATTCAAGCCTTAGCTCTGCTACTTACTAGCTAGGTGACTTGAAGAATTCCCTAATTTCCTTGACCCCATGTCCATATCTCTAAAGGGAAATAAGTCCTCCTTTCTTGAGCTGTTGTAAGAAGCACGAGACTATTTCTTCCTCAGCCTGCCAGTCACCTGGTGATAGTTCAAGACACTGAGGTGGAGGGTGGTCCCGGCCTGCCAGCCTTGGGAGGAGACGATCCAGACATGTGCTTCCACCTGACGCCCTCCCACGGCAGCCCACCCAGGTGCAGCCCCCTCTTGGGCCTTCACCTTCCACCCTCCGGTCCTGTCTGCTCAGTCCCGCCTGACACACCCCAAGGACTCGACTCACCAGCAAAGAATTTCCTTCCAAGCCCAGGCACGGGACTGGTGGAGCTGGTTCTGGTCCCCCCTGCAGCCCCCCAAAACCAGTTCCCAGCCATCCGCTTTTTCCCAGCTTCTGGACCGGGCAGCAACCAGCTTTTGTACCCACTCTGTAATACCTCCCCTCCACCCCATAGAATTACAGTTGACCTTTGAACAACGCGGGGGTTAAGGGCTCTGATACCAGCCCTCCCTACCCCGCACAGTCGAAAGCCCGCTTGTAACTTAAGTTGGCCCTTCGCTTACGCGGACTCCCAGCCAAATCTAAAATACTACACTTCCTCCCTCCTGCGACCCTCGCCCCCCACGTTTTCCTTCCATTCCAGGCAGCTTGGGAGCTTGCGGACATAGAAGGGAATATCTGGGAGCCTTCCAGCTACTGGAGCCCCCATCCCCACCCCGAATAGAGGAACTAGACAGTGGGGAGGCTGGGGTGGAGTTGTCCCTCCCATCACCCCACTTCCCCTCGCTCCCAGTCCACTGCCGAGGGTCGCCGCGGAGCACTGAGCGTCCCTGGGGGCTCAGCCTGCGCCCCGCACTTACCCGCCGCGGCGCGGCCAGCGCGGGGCCGGGTCCCCGCGTCCTCGAGGCCAGCAGCAGGGGCGGGGGGCGGCCGGAGCCTGGGCTCTGCAGTCGCGGCGAGGAGCACGCAGCGGCAGGCACACCTCGGGGGCGGTGTGGAAGAGGAGGGTCGGGGGAGGAGCCCGGCAGCCGGTCCGGCCGCAGCGGGTCGGGCTCTAGTCCCGACGCTGCCAAGTGTGCCGGGGGCAACCTTCGGAGGGGCTTCTCACTCGTCCCAGCTTCGGTTTCTTCATGTGTGAGTAGAGGCATCCGTGACCATGGGCAGGGCTGTTGCAAAGGCTCCAATGAGATTAGGGGCGTGAAACACAGTAAACTGTTAAGTGCCGTGGCCCCGGGACCGACTGCAATCACGACTCGCCCACACGCGTTACCACGGATACTGTGCCAGCGCCCTGCAGGTCACGGTCCCCGCCCAGCGCCTGGCCTCAAACCTGCGTGGGGGCACTCTTAGGGGCCTGCACGACAGGTCCTCAGGCAGTCGCGCGGTCTCAGGCTGTGGAATCGAATCAAGCATGTGCACTTTGGAGAACCAGGATCGGGGGCAGATCCTGTGCCCACAGCGGAAGGGGCGCAGCGAGTCCTGTGCCTGGAAAGGAGATGGGGGAACCTTCGTCTAGGGGTGAGGGCGGATGAGGGGATGTCGTTGTCTGGAGTTACTAGGAGGGGCAGATCCTGTGGGAGGAGGGTGGGGTGGGGTGGGGGCAGAACCTGTGCCTAGACCCCCTGCTGAGGGAGGGGGAGACTGAAGCTAGGCTGTGGCTGGGCTGGGCTCTGGGGACAAGGACGCTTTGTCTCATGTGCCAGGATTAGGGACTTAATGAGAGCCCCTGGTGCCCCTTGTGTGTATGTGTGTGTGGGGGAACCCCAGTGTTTCCAGCCTCCCTGGGGAGTCCCAGGATCTTAGTCATATAGGGCATGAGCCCTCCCATTCTCCACAGCAATGATGTTGCTGACACAAGGGTGACTATACATCACATTTTTCCAGGACTACTCATTTGCTCCGGTAGCCCTGGTGTAATTAACAGCACCCACTGTTACTCTCAAAAGTGCCCTCAAACTTGGGAAAATCAATTACTTGATTCCCCTACCTACCGCTCACTGCGGTAGAGAACTAACACGACCATGGGGGCTCGTAAACATCTTTGTACCAGGAACTGTCCCCCAGGCTTTAGTTCATCCTCACAGTGCCAGATGAGGAAGGTATGATCCTTCTTGCTTTTATGAATGAGAAAACCGAGGCACAGAGAGGAAAGTGACTTGCCCAGGGTCACACAGACGATCAGAGCAGAGCCAGCTCTGGAGACCTCAGCCATGTAGAGTTTCTGGATAGAACAGAACCACAGAGCAGAGGCCACCTTTCACTCACTGGGTGATGGCCTTGAAAAATCATTGCTGAGACTCAGTGCTGGGGTGGTTAGGGTGGTTCTGTGCATGTGTCGGTGTGGGGAGATGTGTGAGCGTGATGGGGTCCTGTGGGGGAGTCCATGGCTCTGCCATCTGCTATCTACCGATTACTGCTCTGCTGCATTTCAAAGCAAAACCAGCTCTCTACTTCTTCACCTCCTAGTCAGTCACTCTTCAACTCATTTCAATAATGTTTTTGTCCCTACCATGTCACTAAAGACAGCCCCATCAAAGTCACCATGGATCTCCATTGATGCTAAATCCAACAGTCACCTCTCTGCCCCCATCCTCATGGACCCTCAGAAGCACCTGACACAGCTGACCACTCTTTCAAGACACTTTTTTCCTTTGGCTTCTTTGACACCACACTCCCAGTTTCCTTGTAACTTGGAGGCCTCCCGTCCCGGTCTCCCATGTCCCAGGGCTAGCCTCCTCTCTCCCGGGTGAGCTCATTCAGTCCTGGGGCTTCTAATACCGTCCATTCGCTGTTGAGTTCCACATTTCTAAGTGCTGCTCCTAACTTCTCCCTGAGCACCGTGCCATGCAGCCAGGGCTGCCCACAAGGCTTCCAGTTGCTTGTTTGTCCTTCCTGAGATGACAGTGTATGTTCGACTCTATAGCTATTCTTTTTACATTTACCACATGGAGGTACGCGATGCACACAGGGCTGCACTTCACTGTTTTCATTTAACAAAATACAGGACACTTTCCTCTCTCAGTTGCATAGAACTAGCTCATTCTTTTTGTAAACAGCTGAATAGTATTCCATTTTTCCCTATCAGTAGATGTTGAGCTGTCTCTTGAAAAAAAACAAACAACGAAAAACAAACCCCAGAAACAAACCACCAGCTGAATAGTATTTGTACTATAATATATTTAATCCCATACTAATGATTGGGATTAATTCCAATCCCAACCTTGTATTTCTTTCTATTGTGAACACCATTGCAATAAATATCCTTGGACAGCATCAGTAACACATTTTAAAAATTATATTTATAGGATATATTCCTAGAAGTGGAATTTGGGGTTAAAGTTGTTTGCTCATTTAAAATTTTGCCAAATCTCCTCCGTAGATAAAGCAGCTTACGGCACCAGCAGACGTGCGAGGGCTGGTTTCCCAATATTCTTGCCAATGTTATCAACTGAATGATCTTTGCCTGTGGTAGCTCATTACATTTTTCTTTTGCATTCCCTTCTGCGTGAGAATCAGCATCTTTTCATATACTCAAGAGCCACCTATTTTTTTTTCCCTGTGAACTGTCCTCTACCTTTGCCCATTTTTCAATAAGATGATTGATTTTTTTAAATTATTGATTTCTTAGGAGCTCTTTCCATATTAAAGAAACAAGCTCTCTGTCAATGGTACAAATAGAAAGGATCCCCCTGACCCCAGTTTGACGCTTGTATTTTGACTTTGTATAGAATTAAACATTTTTTAATGTAGTCAAATGTATCAATCTTATCTTTTATGGCCTCTGAGTTTGCTCATAATTAGAAATGCCTTCCCCACTCTGAGAACTGAAAAAAAAAATTTCTCCCATGGTTTCTTCTCGCTAAAGTAGTGCTTTAATGATATAAATCAGATCATGTCACTCCCCTAGTAAAACTTTGTGGTAACTTACCATTACCTTTATACTAACACCCACTCACCTGACACTGGCCTACAAAGCCCCAAATGACCTGGTCCTGCTTTACCTCCTACCACATGTCCCCCTGATCACCGCTCTCTGGCCGCTCTGGCCTCCTTTCTGTTCAGTCCAGCCTCTGGCCTTGGCACTTGCTGTGTGTTCCCTCCGCCTGCACTGCCCTTCGTCTGGCAGGCTCCTCCTAACTGAGGTCGTACCTCCTTATGGAGGTATTCCCTGGTCACCCCATCTGACGTTATCTCACTGTACACCCTCAGCAGTCACTCTCCAGAACCGTCTCCGCCATGATCTCCAGGAGAACAGGGAGCTCGTGGGCTGTGCTCCTGCTGCCTGTCTAGGGCCTGGAGTGTGGCTGAGTATTTGTAAAGTAAATGTTGGGTGCCCATAATGTTCTGCGTGAGAACTGTTTGTGTGTGAGCTTGGGTAGTCCTGGATTCAGGGAGCAGCATGGGGAGGGTGTGTGTATGAGTGGAGTGTGTGGTTGTGAATGTGTATCCTTGCAGAGGTGGCTGGGAGGGTTTTGTGAGACTGTGTGCCTGTGTGGCTGCGTGGTGGTATCTCTGTGTGCAGTTGGGTTATTCTGCTCTGGTGACCAGGTACCTGGTTTTAGTGCCGAGGTCTGGTCATTCTGACCCTGTCAGATGCTGCCCTTCACTCCTGACGTCAAGTAGTACCCCCCAACAATGGGCCTTTCCCTATTCTGGAGTGAGCTGGAAGAGTTTCCATTCCAGAAAGAGGCTCTGAGGACCTCAAGGTCCTCCTGTCCCACATCAGAGTTCTGCTCCCTGAGCAGGGGAATGTGTGGGAGGCCATCTAGGCCATCCCTCTGCCTCAGGACAAGGCTGTGTTGTACCAGGGCCTTGGCAGCCGCTCCAGCCACCCCCACTCCCTTCAGGGACTACGCCTGCTTTCTGGGGGTGGCAGGTCCTAAGCCTGCCCCTGGACCTCTTCCGGCCCAGGCCTTGGCCCAGGCTGGTCTTGCGCCTAGGCCACCCCCATGTCTGCAACTCCATCCAGGCCTCAGGCAGGGGCTTCCTGGAAAGGGGCAGGGCCATCACTCTCCTGTGTTTGTGTGTGTGTGGCGGGGGCCTAGGCCCTCTCATGTGCTCCAAGGCCCTTTCCTCTCTTGAGCAGAGTGGTGGGCAGGTAGAATCCACTGGGAAACAGGCCCAGCGGAGGCATGGGGGCTTTCCGGTTCTGCTCCAGCATGCGTGGGGCTGTGAGTAGGGACAAAGAGATGTTCTAGGACCCAGGCTAGAATGTTGCTTTCCTCCCAAGATGCCCAGAGTTACTTGGAACTTCTGCCTGCACAACTTTACCCTCAAATAAAGGAGGTAATACATGACATCACTGAGTTGCTGTCAGGATTCCACCATTCTGCATGTGTGCTGGATCCCACCTTTTCTCACCCACCCAGGACCTCACTCCAACTCCTTTCTTTCTCCTCCATCTTCACCCTTTTGCTCTTCACTAGATCTTTCCCATGAAAATAAATATGCTGGTATTTCTCCATCTTAAACAAACAAACAAACTTCTCTTGACCCCACATCTTCTAACATCTGCCTCATTTCTTTCCATTCCTTTATAGCACAACGCCTCGAAAGAGTTGTCTTAATTCATTATCTCCATCTTTTTTCCTCTCTCTCTCTCCTCTCTTGAATTCACTCTAATCAGGCTTTTGCTCCTTATATTCCACCCAAACCATTCTCACCAAGGTCCCCATAGCTAAATCCCACGGTAAGTTCCAACCCTCACCTTTCCTTGCACTTCCAGCAGCTTTTGGGCCCCAGAACCTCACAGTCTCTGACTTTTTTTTTTAAAGACTTTTATTGGGGAATTGGGGGGATAGGAACAGTGCTGGGGAATTGGGGGAAGGGGAACAGACAAGTTGCTGTCGTTTTGTTCTTCAATCTAGTTGTGGAGGACGTTGCTTCACTGGCCCAAGTTGGCACCATCATTGCGCTCTTCCCAGGTGAGGCAGATCAGTCGCCGGCTTCTGGACGGC